TGCGGTCCTGTTGGGGTCGCTACGAAAGGAAAACTTTAGATGATCCCATAACTACACCAACACCAACTACAAGGAATATTTCCCGTTCCGCGAAAAATCCAAAAGTAGTACATATAATAAAATCCACACGTCACGCTCAAAATAAGGTGGCGTGACTAGTCACACAAAATACGAATTATTCACTTGTTAGTAGTAGCACAGATAAAATTTATCTGTGGTAGTAGATACTTATGCTTTATGAATAAGACCATTTAAGTTGGCCAAAAAAATGACTGTTTTGTACCAATTGGGAGCGTTAAACCGTGTCTGCGAGCCCCAATTTGCAAGTTTGTAAATTTTCCGGAGCCCCAGCTCTATCTGGAGGGTACCCTCTAGACCCCCCGGTCCGCGAATACGGCCTACCGGTCTGGGCTGTCCGTCCGTCCGTCCGTCCGCTCGTTTTGCGACGCTACTAGTTCTTTTCTTTGTTTAGAAATGTTCGATCGCTTTTACATCTCCGTTAGTTATGAACTGAATTGCATGAAATTCAATATGGGCATAGCTTTAGCCATATAATACGCAATGCAAAAAGTTGAATCGAATCGATTCAAAATTCACAGTGCCCTTTTCGCATCTCGACCATTTATAAACCGAATTGCAAACTTTTTTACTTTTAAAAGTATTTGAATGAAATTTGATACATAGGCACTTGTAATAAAGGAAAATCAAACGCCAATTTCAAAATTTGGTTTTGCGCATGCGCAGTGCCAACTTTTTTTATTTGCGGAAGAATTTACACGAAATTTGATACATAGGCACTTGGGATAAAGGAAAATCAAACGCCAATTTCAAAATTTGGTTTTGCGCATGCGCAGTGCCAACTTTTTTATTTGCGGGAGAATTTACACGAAATTTGATACATAGGCACTTGGGATAAAGGAAAATCAAACGCCAATTTCAAAATTTGGTTTTGCGCATGCGCAGTGCCAACTTTTTATTTATGGAAGAATTTAAACGAAATTTGATACATAAGCACTTCGAATAAAGGAAAATCAAACGCCAATTTCAAAATTTGGTTTTGCGCATGCGCAGTGCCTACTTTTTTATTTATGGAAGAATTTAAACGAAATTTGATACATAGGCACTTGGGATAAAGGAAAATCAAACGCCAATTTCAAAATTTGGTTTTGCGCATGCGCAGCGCCAACCTTTTTATTTATGGAAGAATTTAAATGAAATTTGATACATAGGCACTTGTGATAAAGGAAAATCAAACGCCAGTTTCAAAATTTAGTTTTGCGCATGCGCAGTGCCAACTTTTTTATTTATGGAACAATTTAAACGAAATTTGATACATAGGCACTTGGAATAAAGGAAAATCAAACGCCAATTTCAAAATTTGGTTTTGCGCATGCGCAGTGCCAACTTTTTAATTTATGGAAGAATTTAAACGAAATTTGATACATAGGCACTTGGGATAAAGGAAAATCAAACGCCAGTTTCAAAATTTGGCTTTGCGCATGCGCAGTGCCAAATTTTTTATTTATGGAAGAATTTAAATGAAATGTGATACATAGGTACTTGGAATAAAGGATCATCGAGCGCCAGTCTCAAAATTTTCCTTTGCGCATGCGCAGTGCCGACTTTTTTATCTATGGCACCATTTAAGTGAAATTTGATACTTAGGCGCTTGGAACAAAGGAAAATCTAAATTAGTTTTAAAATTTAGGTTTGCGCATGCGCAGTTCCAACTTTCTTATTTAGAAAATCATTGAAATGAAATTCTTCTCATAAACTGAAATTGAAGTAACACGTCAAAAATGGATTGCCCATGTGCAACGCTATCTTTCATATTTGTGGCCGGATTTTTACGATTTTATCAGAAGTTGCATCTTATAAATGGGAAATGAATGCAAGTGGAAATGCGCTTTATGTAAATCGTTTACGATTACTTTTTAACTTGTTAGAAATGTTGTGGTGTGGTAGCGCATGCGCAAACCTATTTCGTATCAATAAACAATTAAGTTAACCCCATTTGCAATATATGAGTATAAGAGTGAACAAATTTAGTGGTTATAGAGACCAAAACAAACACTTTTCTAAATTCGATGCGTCCATACTTTGATGTCCACCATTGACATCTCAGTTATTAGAAGAGATGGAAGAAAGGTTAAATGTACAGTCGACGATGGCGCGGTTTTCGTACATAGGTTAGCATATTGCCCTTAGCCCCTTACATATTCTAGTAGCGCTTTTTGCAGCGTTCTCAACGAAAACAGAAAGAGCACGTAAGTTTGTTATGGTGCATCAAAGCAGTGCATTTTGCGGTTTCCGCGTCGAAATCAGATTATTGAATAAATGACGAAAGTATGACAGGAAAACTACAAAATCTAATCAACAAAATTTAACACCTAGGTATGCTTCAAAGCAATGTGTTTTGCAGTTTACCAGATGAGATTGATAATTGAACATTTTCTCTACATTTTGGCATCATTCTAAACCTAAAGTCATTAGGCAAAAAAACCTTTCTCGCTGCACTACAGGGAACCGCTACCACCACCACTTTCCAGTGCTGAGATATCGTCCCTCACACGGATTTTATTTTTTTTTAAATTCGTAAAAAAGAAAACTGTACAGACCTTTCAAAATGTATTCTTCTAAGAAGGTACCATCTACAGAGTTTCTCTACTTACTTCGTTCCACAAAAATTTACTTGTTCAAAAAAGACACTACTCCTTTCCAGAACATCCATTTGCTGCCACTAGGTAGTTTATTCGTGGTCAAAAAAACCGAAAAAGGTCATTTACTAAAATGCTTTGGCCTTAATTTATTTTCATACATATTAAAAAATAATCTTAGCAAACCCTTAGTAATTTTTTCTCGTCTGAACAGATGCAGTATTTTTTTCTCTAAAAAAACGTATTTAGACTTTTGCTCTAAAATAATTTGGGGAGCTAGTAGTTGACTATAAAGAAATTACTATTGAAATCCCTATGCTGCGTTGCGCAAGGCACCACCTTGTATATTGTAAACCTTCGAAAAATCGGGATCGCTGTAGAATTGCACGTTCATGCAGCCCAAAACCAACGTAATCAGAGATTATAGCTGGAATAGGTAAATCTAGATTGGAATAATAAAGATTATTTTAATCCAATACTTAGTCATGCAACCAAATTTGGCAAATAATCTTGGACTTCGATTACAATTCGCTTTCTTGCAACCGGCCGTAGGTGGTATTTTTAATATACTTACATAAATGATACATATAACAATGTACGTAATACTCGTATATTTATTTAAACTGTATATACCTATGTTATACTTTGTCAACCTAAACATCCATATCACACCCAACCATCCGTCTGTGCCTTGTAATTGCAATACCCAAAGGCAGGAAATATTGAAACTATATATATTCGCAAATACATTTAACTTGAGCGGAGATCCAATTTAATCTGACAAGTTCTAATATTTTTTTCTATTTCGGTGTCACAATGATGATTTTGTACAACTGTTTTCGGCCGAAAACAGTTGTACAAAGACAGTGATTATAGTCGTTTTTTTTGGTAACTCATTTCTTAAGTTGGCAGTTACTAGTTAGTACAAGTAGGTACTTCGTTGGGTACTTCCATGTTTGAACTTCAAAATGTCAAGTCTTACTACGCTGCCAACCTAAAACTTAACGGCATAAAAAGTGTTCCCAACATAAAACATGTTAGTTCTAATGTTCCCTATAGTTTCTGATAATGATTTTTTTAATTAAATTAAAGCACCGAAATAGAAAAAATAGTATGAAAATAGTATATTAAAGTACAAGTGTCATTTGACGAAGATTGTCGCACGAGGTAGTTTGCCGCATAAGCCGCGTAGCGGCGAATGCGGCAAAAACCGAGTGCGACAAGTAGACAAATGACACGTGTGCTTTATACTATTTTTTCTATTTCGACTTTTATTTTAAATAATAAATTATACAAATTATAAATATTGCATTTAGGCGTTGTTAGGTAATTTTAAACTATCATTCAGTGTATGTTGGTAATAGACACAATTCATTTATTTTCACGTTGGCTAACCCGATTCCTGTATTTTCAAACTTCAAACTTTTAATTAGGTATTTGGTCATAATTCCATTTTGCGGCAGTTACGATGAATACGGATGACAAACACGTCTCTTGTACCCCATCGGAGATCCAAGAGATTGCCAATGAAGCGACGTTAAATTTACTGCCTGTAAAATCGAAAGTAAAGTACGAGGAGTACAAAATTTTTGAAAACTGGCTCACCGAGAAGGGGAGTTCAAAAAGTAAGCAAGAATGTACTGCTGGCATATTTTACTACGCTAAGTAAAAATAAAAAAAAGTTCTACCCTTTGGAGTATATATTCAAAATTAATCGGAATTAATACAATCGGTCAAGTTCCTCGTACGTTATTTACACTTTACAGGTTATGTTTAGTTTTGATTTGACGGATACCGTTGACAGCAAAAAAGCAAGGGGTACCAATCCAACAAAATAAAAAAATAATGCGTTTCTATTTCTTTCGGCATCATTTCTGTCTAGAAACGCACGCAAACTGGGCCAATCAAGTACGGTTTCGGTATTGTTTCCACATCGAAATAGAAAAACGCGTGTTACAATGCTTGATTGTAATACTCCTATCTTGCGGACACTCGTGGCTACGCTTCGCGTCGCCACTCGTGCCACAAGATAGTCGTATTACAATAGGTCGCATTGTAACACTTGTCTTTCAATATACTATTGTAAGAGGAATCTTTTTTGCATCAAATGCATTGCAACCATGTTCATGGATCAATTGCGTCATAATGTCTAAACGCTACTAATATTCTCAATTTGCACAGGACAATTCTTATTTGCTTTATTAATTACTTTTCTTAAACCATATCTATTTCTCACATTTACCATATCGCACTAAATGCCTTTCTTCTTCTTCAGTATGATTGCGACTTATGACTCGACAGTACGTATGTGCTATATTTTGTATGATTCGTACATTGTTGCAGAAATATCATCATGTTGAGTCACAGTGCGAGGTAAGCCGATTAGAAAAACTTTATTGTACGCATTCTATCCACGCATGATATGTTGTACTGCAAAATTTGTTTATTTATTATGTGCATTATAATGAATGTTTCGAAAATCACATAATGACACGATATCCATAACACATTTAGGCATTCAACAAGATCTGATGAAACACGATACAACTGAACAATTACACCTCTAAACTGTTTCTAGTGATGATTTTATTTTGTTGTTTTTTTCAGAACGAAACGCCCTGAAGTGTTTAACCGGGTTACACTTCAGGGTCAGATCCGTCTTCAATTATCTTCAGGATGTCCACGCCACCAGCTCACATTAGACAGTTATGGAGAACTAAAGGCACCTCAATTTGAAAATTGGGCTATGAAAATAACCCTAAAAAAATACGCTCAAATATGACTCATTTTGCAGGTATATTTTTAATGAATTGCTATTTGCTAAATTAAAGCAAACGTGGCCCAAATCTATTGTCTAAATTAAAACTAAATCTTCATGCATATCGAAAGTCATTTAGGAAGTGATTAGGATTCCGTACCTACCGATGATTGGTAAAACTTGCCAAATATGAAATATTTACCCACCAAAGTTAAAAAGATTGCATCAATGTGGACATCTAAACTATAAAATAAAACTCCTGTACTAGTACCATAGTGTAGATTCTGTACACTATGCTAATACCTAATAGTTTTTTTAGTTTGTCATATACTTTTTTTCGTTTACGTTGGTCCACTTTGGATCCCGTTACAGTTCCCATTTTCAACTTTTTGTTACTCTTCGTTCTTTCAGATATAGCCTTCCCGTCATCCTCTATCATCTTCCTACTTGTTCTTTTCGTTTCACTAATGTATTTAAAACTTTCTATTAGTTCCCTATATGTGTTCCTATTTTCTTTTTTTTTCCATTCACTATATCTAATTTTCCTAAATCAATCAGAACTGATTTGTGCAATCGGTGTTTGGTTTTTTCATTGTAACAGAAGGTTTGTTTGGTGAGTGTACTATTATTTCATCTATATACATTGTGTCCAAGATAAGGATATCTATCATGGGGATCTCTGATACCATAGAATATACAAAGATGGTCAAATTAAAGAAAAGATGCACTATTAAAGAGTTATTATCATGCTTTAAAGAAAACTGATTACAGCGAGTGCACCATCCTGTTGAAAGCAATTGCAATAGTTTCCAACTTTTGTTTTTTGTGTGTCCCGTACATCGTTGTACTCGTAATAAAAAATGCTACTCAATACAGTATGTACTTTTTTTACGGACCATATAAAAAAATAAAGTTGATGATGATTTCTCCGAAATGAAACGTTGTACCGAAAATCGCAAAACTTGAAAACTGTTGGTTTCAACAGGATGGTGCAACTGCGCACATCGCCCTCATTGTGCGAGAATACCTATTGGACATATTTTCCATTTTCCAGGAAACTGCTCGACTGAGAAAGTGTTTTTTTAAATCAAATAACAACGATAACGGAATTCTGACATATCTTCGGAAGTACCTAATCGAAATTTTCCGGTTTTTCTTTAAAGTATGATAATAACTCTTTAATTGTGAATCCTGAATCGTGCATCTTTTCTCTAATTTGACCTTCGTCGTATATTCTATGTTTTCAGGGATCCCCATGATAGACATCCTTACCTTGGATTTTTCTGTTTTCTTCCTTTTTATACTTTCATACTAGGAAAGGTAAACCACCGAAATCCAAATGAAAGATTTTAATACTCCTATTTGTGCACATATCCACGATTTTCAATTTGAAATGGCCTTTTGTTCTCTTTCAACGTTTAATAGTAGCTGATGACTTGGACCTTCTGTATAGCGAGTACATCTTCTATTATTAATAAAATATTCCTATTGTTTATGAACTTACGTAATATTTCTGCAAACCTTACTTTTTATTAGTTTTACTTGTAGGTGCGTATAACTAGTGTAAAACTGACTCACTTAGAGATGATTGCAGCTAAAGTCTGTATAATAGAAGCTGGCGGTTACGGTATCTTTTCGACGTTTTGTTAGAATTAAAGGTACGTACGTCACATATGGATTAATTTTGGTACTTGACTTGTTGTCTGGTGCGCCTTCAGTAGGTTTACTCTCTCTATCTTTATAAAAAAAGACAAAGATGACGATTATTCTGACGTTTAATTAGGAGGTGCATCATTGAAGTGTCATTGATTTTTGGGTCAGGTTTATGAGTGACATGTGACAAACGTCATCCGACATGCACCTCGACATATCTTAATGATACCAATTTTCTGTCACTTCCAACTTGTGAGTATTAAAGAGAGATAACCTAGATATTCTAGAAGTTCTTAAATTCCTCAATGGCGTCGTTATCACTCTCCATGACATCTGCTAAACTATTTTGGATGAGAACTTCTTACATAAGGTCGATTGGCGATCCGTCAAAGGATGAAGAGGAACTTTCAGGAGGTCGATGTGTTTTTTAGGAATTGCGCAGAATATGCCACGGTACTAAGAAATCGCAGACGTGCCTCAGTATTGGCAGGCCTAGGCACGTCCACAATAGTAGCGATTTTTGATGGCGATTTTGATATACTGTTATCCAATGAAGGAAACCAATATCTTCCCAAAAGAATTTAATTAACAATTAATACAGCGTAGAGTTACGACCAGTTTCGGACAACAACTGTGTCCATTCTCAAGTAAAACACTTAAAAAGAATTAACATTAAAGATGTTAAACTAGGGATACAACCGCATAACTACCTACTGTAATGCTTTACTACAATCAACATTGCCTAAAAAGTCGATTTGATCTTGGAATAAGATACAGTTTCGTCGATTTAGAAGGTCCACATTTTGAAATTGTCTGAGGAATGCATGGCAGCACATTCTTCTTTGATTCTTCATAGACAATTATCTCATCGAAATAATACCTACTCACATTTTGGCACGTGTCGGAGTATTTGGGCAATAATCTGATTGAATTCACGCGGTTTTGATCCCAAACGATAATCGATTCATCCCTATGTACCTTAAGTGCGAAATTAGACGGGCGTTTTTTCCGCCGCGGAATCAACGCAGCGTAATGTCCGCAACAATTGCAACTACACGGGAGCGATATTATCGCTACGGTAAGGAATACGTCTCTCACAATGTATCGCTGCCAAATAAACGCTAGGACAGTCGTATCGCAGCGGAAAAACGCGTCCGGTTGCGTTGAATCCGCTCACGCTAGTGGAGCCAGAGCGGAGAAGCGTGGAAAAAACGCCCGTCTAGTTTCGCACTAAAGGTCTCTACCCACTACAACGTATCATACCATGACCGTAATAGGAACGTACCAGGCAAAAAAAATATTGTTTACATGGAATAGTATGAGACTATGCCCACTACACCGTTTAGTCACCGACCAAAGACTTCTGTCACCGACCAGCACTGTAACATGCCATGTGTGGAGCGTCAACAAATATTTTGACGGTGCCGATACGCTCCGTGCATGGCACGCGACGGTCCCAAATCGGTGCGCGCAGACGCAGAAATGATGAACATACGGAAGTACATATGACATTTTTTTTCGTCATCGACTAGGTCTAAATAATGCCTCGACTGTTCGTTTCGCACCCTCTTCCTGACGCGTTTGTTTACAAGTACAACCGAGCCAACGGGAACCGTACGGATACGACACGCGGACGCTCCGGTCACTATAACCGTTACGCACGGGTATGGTACGGTGTTGATACGATCTAGTGGGCATAGTAGTCCGTATCGTATATTTTCCGTGCCTGTACGTTCATAGTACGGTCATGATACGGTACGGTGTATTGAGCAGATACCTTTATACGTTGTCATACTTATTGACGCTTGCTTTATAGTCCATACATAAACGTGTCTCCAATCTCCATCGGCTTTTGGAATGATGACCAATAGTGAATCCACAGTCGATGGTGACAATACTTCTCATAAGTGCGTAAGTAGTGTGGATCTCGATGGTATACTGATTTGCTGGAATAAAGACAGTTTGGGTACTTATACGAAAGAAATCCAGCGACGACGACTGGTTTAAGGTTTCACTGGAAGTTGAGAATTCAGCTTATTGAACATGTTTCATGACTGAGCCTGAATGAACTTCAAAAGCACGCTTTTGCTGTATTGAGAATCATCAACGTTATTATGGATGTCTATAGTAAGGGCATTTTCACACGGAGCACTCTGTGACGCTGCTGAGTAGCCCCACTTACAGTGACTCTATATTAGGACAGTGGCGACAACTTATCATAATCCGCCATATTGGAGCTAAAAAGTTGATTGTAGACCTTATCTTGTCAAATTGTGTCTGTAGAATAATAAATGTCAGTTTCATTTAAGTAAAGATTCTCGTTCAAAACTAACGGCGCAGAAATGATCGTTTAAAACATTGCAAGACAACCTATGGGGGGAAACCACTGCCTCCCAAATTCAAAATTATATGGAAACCGGTATAATAAGTATAAAATATGGCGCAATATCCAAAATATAATCATTAAATTGTGTTTAACATTTCAGTGTGTTCTATCACTTCTTGTCCCTCGTCGCGCGTTTCTCCTTCCGGGATAAAAAGTATCACTTTAGTTCCTTAAATGGAAGACAAAACATGTTGATTTAGTCCACGGAGTACAAAAAAGCAATATTATTGTTGTGTGCTTCAGTAATCATCAATGTTAAACTTTGAACCAATTCAAGCGTATTTATGATCACAATATTGCGTTATCCATAACCACAATTGAATTTGCTGGTAGATTTGGTACAAGCTTCTTCTCTAACCAGTTTTCTATGTAAACTCGCATTATTGAGAGCTTCTGAAACCATTTTTACATCAATTACTACTAGTAAGGTTAGGTACAGTTTTACATCTAAAAAGACTTTAAGCGAATTCCATACTCTTAATATCGTAAATCCTAGCTATATGCGTCTTTAAAAATACGAGTTTATACAGGGTCATTCTTGACGAGCGTCAGTTAGAAAGATATGGATAACCTTTG